TATCTAACACAGACGGGTCTAGCCTTGAGGAAACAAGCACCTCATTGGCCCGTTGTTTTCCCACTCTCCTTTGAGCAGTTGTGGTCATTCCCTCTCCCCTACGTGAACTCTCGGGGCGGCCAGAGTGCCGAGGGCGTCCCTCGAGGGCATCCCTAAGTGAAAGACATGGTAGGGCCGAGTTCTCTCTGGGAACACCTCGAGGCCCTCTAGTTCAGACTCTAACTCCTCATTGGTGGGTAGTTGCTTTCTCTTCCTAGTCTTCTGGCCCACAGTGTTCTTCTTCGAAAGGCAAGCGGCTACAGGCTGAGGACCTTCTTCGCGTCACTCTGTGGTTGGTTTCCTTTCATCACCGATCTGTATCCCTCCCATGGGGACATCATTGAAGGTCACTCCAATCAATTCTAGGGAATGTGAATCCCCTAATTCTCCTTGATGTCTTCGGGACCCTTGGTGGCATGGTTGCTACACGACATGAAAGTGTGTCAGCAAAGAAAGTTTTTTTAACAAAAAGATAGAGTTCTCCAGCATGGGAAGGTACTTACGAATTGAAGTTTCCAAGGACGCCTTAGGGCTAAAGAAACCTGTACTTTCGTAAATTGGCAATAATCATAAGCAGCTTTGCGTCGCGACTTTGGTCAAGTAGTAGACCAAATGCCTCGATACGGCTAAAGTCTACTAAAGCCAATAACTTGGTCGTCTTGTTTCCTGCAAGAAAGCGAAGGGTACGTTAGCCTTACTTATTAAGGAAAGGATAAAGATAAGTAATAAACAATTTGGAAAACGGAAAACCTACTCGGCTCTCTAAATTTACTAACACCATCATACTCAAAGAAGAAATATTTGGTTTTGTAAGCCCCAACATTGCTAGGGTAACCAAATGTCCCTCCCTCAATCGTTGATCATTTTGAGAGGTAATATGAATCCTTATCTTTACTCCTCTTCAAATAGTAAGCGCAGCCGAGCTCCACAGTTGTGAGCTCACCGAGTTTGTGTTGGCCACATGCAATGTACATAGCGACTGCTATCATATATGCATTGGGTGTTAACTAGAACGGTGCGACCTTGAAGTGGTTGATGATCGACCTGATGAAGGGGTGAAAGGGTATCGTCACCCCGCATTTGAAAATTGCTTCTGAGATCGCAGCCATCCCTCTGGAGGGTCCTGAGCAATGTGCGACCTGTGCTGGTAGATGTTTATGTTGATTGTAGACTGATATACCGCCTTTTAAATTTCATCCGCAGTGGCTGTTGATAGTACTGCATGTCCAAGACCCCCGAGGCGCCCGGTGGCTGCGAGTTTGTCCCTTCGGCTGCTCTTAAAGTCTAAAAATGTGCGACATGCAAAGATGACTCAGTCTCTGTATACATTGTCTCGTATGACGACTTATAAGAACAAAAAGAAACCCTAGTTTCAACCCTGGAAACCCTAAAAACTCTTAAGGATGATTTCTCAAAGATCTGTGCCATATTTTTTAGCTCTTAAAAGTATTCCATTTTGAACACTGCCCGCGAATCTACGTTGTGTAATCCTAGCAGAAATCTATTCCCACCATTGCTGTGAAAAACTAAGTTTTTTAACAAAAATGAAAAAGAGAAAAGGAGAAGAAATTTTCTTGACCTCTGGATTACTGGGAGTAAACGTTCTGTCATAGCGACGAGTGCACATCAACCAGGAAGAGGATGAACTGATTTCTTGAGTATGAAAACATTGTTTTTTCTCTCTGGAAACGCAAGTTCTATGAAAAATGTGGAATGAGCTTAGGGTTTTACAAGGAAGAAGGTTACGCTTGGCTTCCCTTGCAAGCAACGTTTGGGCAAGATGCGTTTCTAGCCGTTAGATGCAACCACGTGTCATCAATACTTGTGAAGAGTAACTTTAATGCTTCGTGGAGATCAATCGACGTTTCTCTCCATTGGAGACGCCAAACTTCAGCGTGGTTATCTCCTACACATTAAATGCGCACTTATCCGCATTTAATGCTTTAAAAGAGAATGTCATTTCAGCATGCCTTGCATTTAATGCTCATGGCTGACACTTATTGCACAAAGACACGTCTGTCAGATAAAGTTAATTTTATTAATCAGGACAATTGTTAAGCACAATGGATAAACATCTGAAGAGGTAGTTTGAAAAAATACTCTTCCTCATTCATCAAACTCAGAGCGAAGTGATTTCCAACTTTCGACAGCAAAATACTCTAAGTATTTTTAGGTTGCAGATGACAGATAGAGTTTGAAACACATTGGTATATCACTGGGTAAGATCCGACATAGGTCGCTAAACATTTTGGGACGATCACCTCAGGTCGCTTGTGTAACTCTCGAAGATCCATGTTGCAACCTCTATTCTGTTCACTGGTTAGATGAAGTCATCGACCTTGTTTTGGTTGTTCTCAAGTAATAGTTCTAGCAGGTGCTCTTCGAAACAAGTCAGGTCGTGGCATAATCATGAAGTTCTCAAGATTCAATTCTTGAACCTCAAGAACTGGGGAGCTTCTGTTATGCCTAAAAAATCAGAGCTGACAAGAGCTTATGTCAGCCAGCGCAAATTAGAGTTCAGGAAGGCTTTGTGTCGTCCAGGAGCTGCCACGTTGTTAGAAGACAGAAAGAGTATAGCTGTCATCAACTTGGCAGACTCGACTTTATCTACGAGTGGATAGAAGTCGCCCACCTGTCCAAACCCTACGCGATTTGAGGATATTTGCCATGTAATCAACCAATGGGAAGCGTAGTAGGAATTGTACTACACCTGCCCACTTGCAGACTTGTAATCATTACCCTGAAACCTTCTACTATAAATAGAGGGCTCCCCCTCTCATTTACAGGATTCTGATAAAAAAAACCCGCATTTTGATTGTAACCTTTTTTTTCTTAGAACACAGATAACCTGCGAGAAAGAGACTGGCTTGATATTCTCTCTGAATAATCAGTCACCTGTACCTCTGCTTGCTATTTGCTACACGCGACCTCCTGTAACCTCATATATATAAAAAGAGCTATGGATGTAGGATTCGCTTTAAGCATCTAAACCACTTTAAAAATCATCTTCCATTTATTTCATTACATTTTCCATTCATGTGTAATTTCTAAGCCAACTTAGCACTTTGCACATGCAATCATTGGTGTCAAAATCCAACATCAACAAATCCGATCTCCTCTAATAAGAGAGAACGTAAGAGGTTGAAACAAAAACAATATTTACGAAAGGTTTTGCACGAGAAGTATCAATGCATATTTTCACGTTAAATTCTTGTCAAAGAACAAGGAATATGCCACTGTTTTTATCATTGCCACTTGGTATATATGCCTTGCTGTTGGTTGGAAAATACTTGTTAAGAATACTTGATGCGTCACTTCTTAAAAAAATTTTCAAACTGAACGGTTGAGATATGGTATTGATGATAGTTTTGAGAGTTGTGATAATTTTATGCATTAAGAGTTCATTATATGTACCTTTTTCTTTCATGGGTTGTTTGTGAAATATGCTTGTAACTTTGTGCATATGGAAATAGTTGAAAGTTCAACAATTAAACTCATTTTTCTAAGTAAAATTGGATGGGAAAATCAAGATTCATGCAAGTCCCTATTTCATTATGAAGTTTGCTCATCGTTTACCTATTAGTTATTCAAAGAAGTAAATTTAATTAAAGTAGATTTGCTAGATTTACAAGAACTAGAAATGAGTTCATTGGTTTTTTTAGATCAACAAGCCATGGATCTTTCCGATATTAACTATTTCTTGAATGTTTATAGTTTTGTTTAGGTGAACTGGCTAAGAAATTTCACAAACCCAACATTACAACTTTACTATTCTACTATTCTGCTATTGTGTACACATGCATACCCAAATTTGATTATGCATGCATGCCCAATTTTGATGCTTTAGCAAGCTTTTGTTAACATTTAAAATCACAAAAATCTTAGAGATTGAATGCCTATTGACATCTCTCAAAAAATTCTAATGCATATAGTCTTATTTGTAACTCGAGCTTCCAAAGAATTCAATAAAGTTAGGTTAGGATATTTTACCTTGCATTTCTACACAATTAATTATCTTAGAAAAAAAAAAGATACCCTTTTATAACATAGTTGTTGCATATGGTAATTTTGACAGGAGTACGAGTTGTACATACTAAATATTATGCAAGAGACTACATAATTGTATGTGATACTATGTACAAGAGACTTTCATATGTTTGAAGTAATATTGTTTTTATTCAAATCAATATTATTAGTGTTAAATTATAACGTGTGTTTCTTTATAATTTTTTTTTTCTGTCGTTAATCGAGTGTATTATGTATATATTACATTGGTATAAAAAGATTGATTATAATTCTAGTTTTGATTTTCTGCAAATGAGATACATAGCACACATGTTGAACATGCTTTGAATCTTAGCTGTAAGAACATGGTCAACTTCAACAACATTTACATCAATAGTTTTCCAACCAAATCTTTTCGGATTTTTGTAATTCTTGAACCAATGGATTCCTTTGTTTACCTACTATCAGAAGGAACCAAAAAAAATTGAATTGGTTTTGAGCATTCTTCTAAAATTCATTAAAACCTCAATAACATCAAACTAAACCCTAGTTTTGACCATTGCAGCTTCAAAATCAAATATCTCCTAAATTAAAAAACTTCATGACACGTTCAAATATTCATTAGAAAGCTTATAAAAATATCTTTCAAATAAGAAAAATTTCAGAAAAATCCAATAAGTATAGCTCCATTTATGCCCAGATCAATCAAGGCTAAAAGCACACCTAAACTAACCAAAACACCCATAACTCCATCCCCCAAATCCATTTCATTTATATTCCACATTTTACAACCGTAGATAGCGCCTTATCCAAGGGTCCATATTTAAACTTGGCAAAGGCAGCGATCCGTGTCTTTGTCCTTTCAACCAATCAGCTTTCAGCTTTTGATACCGTCCCTCTCACACTGGACTATTTAAATCCCTTGGTTTCATCACTTTGTTCTCACACAGAAACGAAATTAAAATTACCAGTTCACCACCACCATCCTTCTTAGATCCAATTTTTAATCTTGAATTCTCTTCAATTCCATTCTAAATGGCCACTGAAGAGCCCACCGTCGCCATGGAATCCGCTCCCGAGCCGGCTTCCGAACCGGCCGACGAGAAACCGGCCAGCAAATCCTCCAAAGCCAAGGCTGCTAAAGAAGCCAAAGCTAAGAAACCAGCTGCTGCTAGGAAGCCTAGAGGCCCTCCCTCTCATCCTCCTTATGAAGAGGTATCATTTTGTTGTTATTGTTATTATGTTTTCAGATTTGAATTTTGATCTTTAGATCTGACGTGGCGTTTGTTTGTTGTTTGGTTTCAGATGATCAAGGACGCGATTGTGACTTTGAAAGAGAAGACTGGTTCCAGTCAGTATGCGATTACTAAGTTTATTGAAGAGAAGCAGAAACATCTGCCGTCGAACTTTAAGAAGCTTTTGCTTTTTCATTTGAAGAAGCTTGTGGCTTCTGGAAAGTTCGTGAAGGTAAAAGGCTCGTTTAAGCTTCCGCCAGCTAGGGCCGCCGCTCCTAAGCCGTCTCCGGCGGCTGCTCCGGCGAAGAAGAAGAAGCCGGCTCCTGCTGCCAAAACCAAGGCCAAAACTCCTGCTGCTAAGCCTAAGGAAACCAAGACTACTAAGGCAGCGGCTAAAGCTCCTGCTAAGGCTAAGCCTGCTGCTAAGCCGAAAGCAAAGCCTGCTGCCAAGACCAAGGCGGTTGCTGCCAAGCCAAAGGCCGCTCCGGCTAAAGCTAAGCCTGCTGCCAACTCGAAAGCTGCGGCAGCGGCTAAGCCGAAGGCTGCGCCAAAGCCAAAGGTTGCAGCGAAGCCTGCTAAGGCTTCGAGAACCTCGACTAGGACTTCTCCAGGGAAGAGGGTGGCTGCGGCTCCCAAGCCAGCTCCGAAGAAATCTCCGACTCCGAAGAAGGCGCCGGCTAAGAGTGTGAAGCCGAAGAGCTTAAAGTCACTGGCGAAGACGAAGGCGAAGGCAACGAAGACTTCTGCAAGGAAGGGAAGGAAGTGAGGAGAGAGAAAAGGGTAGTGTTTGTAGGAATAACTCTAATACAAAGCCAAGGTTGGAAGCAGTTGGATAACTTTACATGACCAGGGAATCGCGGCAACTACCCGAAGCACTGATGGGAGATCCAAGTAAAAGCGCAAGTAATGGTTTCCTATGAGCTAGAGCTAGGGGAAAATGTCGGTATTAAATATGATCATATGCAAATAGATCTAAGTAGCATGGGCTTCTCCACTCATGTTTATACTGGGCCGGATTGTGACGGTTCTACCACTTTTAGCAAGTCTGCTAAGGAACGTCCGAAGGAGGAGTTGGGCTCGATTCAGTGCATAACTCGATCCACGAGGGAGACATAAGGCCTGATAAGGAAGAAGAATTCGAAATGGATTTCAGACTGCCAACTGAGCCTTGCCCAAAGCCCAATTATTATGGGATTATTAACAACTATTTAGTGAGCAATTCATTAAACCCAACTCCCTCTAGTGAGCAGAGTTTCAAATGGTCTTTTAGGAAAAAAAATTACAGGACATTCCTTATATTGTCGAGCTTCCTCCAGAAGATGGCAGCCGTGAGCAAGAGTGTATAATTATGGTTTGTGTGAAGCCGAGGCTAAAATATGTCTTGAGTCCCTTGCAAAAGCTTTAGTTGTATCCCACCCCTTTTTTCTCATTCTGCCGAATTGGTTTTCACCAAAACATTTTCGAATGTGAATTCTTCGATTCCCAAAGCAAGAAATTGAAAATAAAGCAGCAAAAAAAAAGCCCTTAGTTTCCTTATAGTTATGGTTAAACTATTAGTCTACTCTTACTTTTTTTTGTGTGTGTGTGTATTTATGCATGTTGTAGCTCCAAATTATTTATATTAGTATTATTTCTTTATTTTTGGCATTTTACATTGTTAAAGGTTTATTTTTTGTTCAGCATTGTACTACTTCACACTACTTATTTATTCACCTACGATTATTGGAACTTTACGATGATATAGGGAGAGGATGCTGTTGGAGTATATGCTTGTGTATCTACAGGTTAGATTCAAAGTTAGTTAATTTGGTTATCTCGTACAATCCGATCTTGAGTGTGTTGCTTCTTTCTTCTTTGATAGATGATGAAGTTTCTGTTATATTAAGCCTATACACAGATGGATACACCATTGGAAACCCCTTGGACACGTTTGTTGACTTTATAGAGAGTAAGTTGAATAAATAGAATTTAAAAAAAAAAAGAAAACAGTTATCTGGCCTTGAAACGACCTTATCGGTGTGTCGTTCCAATGATTGCTGACAGTCCTCTTGGGAGGTTGGGGTAAGCTGTGGCTTGGGTAATTTGGTTGAAGTATAAGGGTATTTTTGCCTCAAAAATCTTGAGTATGATGTTAAGATTGTCTATAAATTTTTTGTAAATTGTTTAGATAATAAGGGTATTATTATCTTAAAATTTTATTAATAAGGGGTAAGATTGTAACAAAAATAAGATTATCAAATAATTTTAAAATACCAAAAAAAATAGAGGTAATCAGATTATCTTCTATATTATCAATAATTATTACTATTAATTTTAGAAGATTATCGGAATCTTATATTATTTTACAATCAAATGTAATGATCAAGTAATATAAGATAACATTATGTTAATAACGAAAGATTAATCACATATATAAGGATATCTCTTGGGTCCAGGTGATTTGATGTTAAACATTATTTTCATCTCTCACATTGACCAAAAATTTATATTATCTTATGAGGATATGATATGATTTCATCTTTTGACAATTGGAGCAACAACTTTGCTAGTGAAGGCTATGCACCCAAACTTTGTTTAGATCCTACTCTCAATTGGCCTCCTACTAATCCAAATAATGGAAAAAAATTATAAATTATTGTTTCACTTAATAGCAATATTTTGAAAATCGAACCAGACTGGGCAATCAAACCGGTCTGACCAGGTTTTGTTGAGTTTACTGATTCAAAAAGGGTAAAAAACCGGGATTTGGCATTGAAACACTTTAAACAACTAGTGGACTAGAATATTGTAGCAAACTGCCGGTCCACCAACAAAAGTATAAAACCCTAACCTAAACCAAATTTTTTTTAACCCATTTTTGCGATTGTATTTACCTCCTCCTCTTCCATTCGCGATCTCCTTCAGCTTCAAGTCTTCAACTTCAACCTCTTCAATCGTCGCCGTCTAAAGGTCTGCTTCTTCCTTGTCGTCTGCCTTTAAAGATATGCTACAGATTTGCGACTTCCTTTAACTTCAGCCTTAATAGGTTTTGGCTTTTTTGGGGTCTGTTTTCTTTTTATGTTGTGGTGGGTGATGTATTCCATGACTGTTGGTAGATGGTAGCTGTTTGGTTTGGCCTTCTTCCCTTCACTTGCCATGAGCTGTGCTGAATTTTTTTGTGGCTGGGTTGGTGCTGATGGACGGTCGTTTGGTTGGTGGAATGGATTGATATTGGGTAATTTTGTATGTTGGTTGGTGGACTGATACTTTGATATTTTGTAATTTTGTTTGTGTGTTGGTTGATGGATTGATATTTGATATTACTTTGTAATGTGTTTTGATGGAATGTGATTATTACAGAGTGTTGTGATCTACGATTAATTAAAGGCTAAAACTATTCTAGCTTGATTCATGCCTTGAGTCATGGAATTACATTTCCAAATTTCATGTAATTAAATTGATTGTATTTGATTGTATTTCTATATTTTACATTTGTAATCTTGTATAAATTGAACACATTACAATACTAAAATCTACAGAAAAGAAATATTTTTTCATCTTCTATCCTCTTATCTTCTAGGCACTCTGTCTTCTTTATTCCTCGACCTTTTTTGCCTCTCTTCTTGCCATACTCTGACATGGTATCAGAGCCATTACACTTCCTTTAGCTTCCTCAACTTTCTCTTTCCTTTTTTGTCCCTGCAAAGGCAAACAGAAACTCTATTAGTTTCTCTCAAAATTCCACTTGTCAATCACCAAAATCAATGTCCAAAAAGTTATCAAATCAAACACTTCAATGACAACCAACACATGCACTGCTGAACCAGCCCATAATGAAACAAACCCAAACACCACAACTATAGGCCCAAGCCCAAACACCACAACTACAAGCCCAAGCCCAAAAACCATAAATGGCCCAAATCCCACAAATGGCTCAACCGTAACAACCGGCCCAACTCTCACAACAAGCATACCTCTCACACCCAGCCCAAACCTATTTCCCTATGGTATGCCGGGTCACAACCTGGATTCACCTCAACCCACGGGTCAATACCCGTATCCTTTCACCTTCCAAATGGTTCAACCCATCGGTCACCGCCCTAAACCAAGCGATGTCCTCTTCTCTCTGGTCTCCGATGGACTAGAAATCACACTCATCAAGCAATAGTTAATCAGATCTGAAAACTACTCAACGTGGGCAAGAGATTTCTAGCGAGCCCTCGTCACTGAAGACAAATAAGGCTTTGTCGACGGCACCATCCCACCACCACCTCTAGATTTACCTCTTCATCATCATCAGAAGAGGTGCAATATGCTCATGAGATCTTGGTTCAACAATTGTTTGTCTTCTGAAGTGGTGGTTGGACTGCCGCTGATTGAAATAGCTGCAAAAATGTGGCAAAACATTAGAGACATGTATGGAAAACTCGATTTGAACAAAATTTACACTCTCCGGCAACAACTCGCCGAAATCAATCAAGGTAATGCAAATGTGACTTTATATTTTAACAAACTCTCTTCAATATGGCATGAATTAGATACTGCCGAAGAAAAGCTTGAAGGACCGCAGGCAACCCTCACACAATTTTAGAGGATTCGCTATCAAGAACAACTTAGCCATTTCCTCTTGGGTCTCAATGAAGATTTTCTAGCATTTCAGACACAGATCCTTGCCGCAACTTGACCACCAGATCTTCGTCGAGTTTTTCAGCTTGCTGTGTAGGAAGAGAGCCAACGACGTGTTGTCGTTAATGGATCTTGATCTGGCGACGCCATTGCCTTCGTCCGTGGTCGCCATAACAACTTGGGTGCTCCAATTTCAGAGAAAGACTTGTGGCTAGGGTTCCACAATTTTTCTCAAGCCCTTGTTTTATATGAACCAACCAAGCGTCCAGATCAAATGCAGCAATCCAACGGCTCTCAGTTGATCTCTCTTCATAACCAATCCAACAGCCCATATACTGCCACATCATCACTAGGGTCCATTGGGTCCAATACACTTAATACTTCAAATTGGCAAAATGGGCCAAATGGGCTATCTTGGTCCAATGGTCCAACCGGGTCAACATGGCAAAATGGGCAAAACGGGTCAAATGGGCCCAAGTCACACAAAGCTGGGAAAAATAAATTTTTTACGATTATTGCAAAAAACGGAGTCACGCTCGAGATAAATGCTGGAAATTACATGGGCGTCCTACCAACAAATCTGGTAATTCAACTGCTCACCAAGTCAACATTATTCCTGCTGGAAATGCAATTTCTGCACCCATGATCAGCACGGAACAGTAAAATCAATTACTTCAAATGATGAATCAACTCCCACAAACGTCCTCGGCTTCCTACACAGGTACATCTTATTGTTTAAATTCAATTAAAGATGATATTTGGATTATTGATTCAGGGGCTAGTGATCATATCATTTGTAACCAAAAAAATTTTACCCACAAATCCAACACATCATCCATTTCCATTCGCATGCCAAACAGGAATATAACACCTGCCACACATATAGGAACAGTTCAACTCAATAAACATCTGATCCTTAAGGATGTTCTATTTGTTCCAGATTTACGATTCAACCTCAGATACGTCTCAAAAATTTGCACTGATAATCACTGTATTCTAAAATTCCACTCTAATACATGTGAATTTCAGGTCCCTTCGAATGGGACACTGATGGGCTTGGGTAGATCAACTAGTGGCCTGTATTACTAAATTTCTGATAGTTCTTCCAATAAATTTCTCCATTGTATTACAAATAATAAAACTTTTCAATGTAATACAAAT